TTATTTTAATTTTTTAATTTTATTTTTATTTTTATTTTTTTTATTTTTTTTATTTTTTATTTTTATTTTTTATAAATGGAATTATTATGGACTTAAAGATTTATTATTATAATTCTAATCAATTATTTCTGAAAACTAGTATTTGTTACTTTATTATAATAAACTAATTGCTTGATGAATGCAAACCAAATTGCATGTCTCGAAGTAGATTATTGACTGAGGGTTTAAACGTGAATTTAATCATGCCAGAGAAACAATAACATTAATTGATAACATTATAGATTATATAACATATAGAGACATTAATTTTTTTTTATTAAATCCCAAATATTTAGTTGAAAAATTTTTAAATTGAACATTTTATATAATTTACTTTATATTAAATAAATTCGAGTTACTATAATATAATGTAGATTCCGTGACAATGTCCGTTTCATTTCAAATTGTACTTATTTTTTAAAACTGCTTATTCTGTATAAAATTAGCTTTTATGTTTGTTTGTCTTAAAATATTTTTATCGCTGGAGTTTGGTTTTTTCTTAACCCTTTTAAACTAAGAATTAAATTATTTAGAAACTTGAAATTGGTAAAATTTCATATGTATAGGTTAGGGACAATGAAAAAATAAAGAAAACATTAAATTTCATTAAAAATAAAATGATAATATATTACTGAATTAAAAATAAGAAATATGCAAAAAAATTAAAAATTTATGAATAAGAAATATGCGAAAACTTAAAGAAAAAAAAAAGTTTTCAAATATTTTTCGATAAAGTTTTTATATATGTTAAGAGCTAATTAAATCACTTGATTGAACCAAAAAGAAATTCACTTTGACATATTTTTAAAGAAAGAAAAAGAAAAAAAAACTGTCAGGCTAAGTAAGTAAACCTTTATTAATTATTATATGAGGCTGATTTTTTTTGCAAAAAGTGTATTTTACAAGCAGTACAAACTGTTAGGAAGAAGTAAGTATAATATAATATAATATAATATAATATAATANCAACGACTATTATAAAATAAAATAGAATAAACATTGCAATGTAGTATAAAATATGGAATCTAATCTAATATAATCTAATATAATATAATATAATATAATATAATATAATATAATATGATGACTATTTCACATTCTTTAAAAAGTAAACTCTTTAAAAAGATTAATTTGTTTTATAAATTTTTAAGAATTTACTGTTTTCAGTGCCTAAAATCTTTTTAAGGCATGGGAAATTTTCTTAACCATTCTCGTATTTACTTTAATGTTTTAAATCATTTAAATATTTGAAAAATTAAATTTAAATAAATTAAAAATTGAAATAAAATTAAAATAATACAACTATTTTAAAAATTTTAAAAAGATTCCATTCTTTATTTTAACTTCTCAAAATATTTTTAAAGTATTAAAAATTAGAATCACTTGAATGAATCCATAGCCATTCTGATGAAAAGGAGAGCTAATAAGGAATTAACAAAACAATAGCAGTTATTCTTTCATTGTCAATGAAGTATTGCTTAGAATGTTTATCTTATAACTTAAATAAGGTATAATTTTTTTTTCTGAAATAATATATAGCTTGAGCGATAACAAGTTTAATGCTCTTGCCATCCACTTACTTCTTATAAACCAGAGAATAAATTGAACGAAAAAGAATTATAATTATTGCGTATATGCTATAACAAGCAAAAAGTTGTTAAATTGAAAAACTTTTAGCTTTTGGTTACGTAATCAAAATTTTCAAAAATCCTGCAAGTAAAATTAAACTTTATATACACTTCTTTTTTAAATTTTCCTTATTTTTTTTAATTGAAATTTTCTGCTGAAAAATTGAGACTAAGAAAGCGAAAATTTTAAATTTCTATCACAGAAAAAATATGAGAATTAAAGCTTCAAAATTTAAAAAAAAAAAAAAAGAAACATCAGATTTTTTGCAAGAAATCTTAAATCTGCTTTAGTATCCATTTGTCTTAGATTTAGGGAAGAATTATCTTTTTTAACTAATTAAGTCAGATTATTTTGTTTGTCCTTTTACAGATTTAATTAAGTATGAAAAAGTAAAGCTGAAATAAATTTTCTTGCAAGATTCTGAGAATTACAATAAGAAATTCGAATTTTCCCAAGATCCTCTTAAAAAAAGTTTTAGAAAAACATCAGTTTATTTTTAAAAAATAAATTTAATAGGTTATTTTAAAAAAAATTTGAACAAAACAGTTAATAAATGTTTTTTTCTCAATATTTAAACCAAAACTTTTTTATTTTGGAAAAAAAAAAAGTATATTTTGACGTAGTAGGGTTAAAATAAATTACTAGAAAGGAGAAAAAACACGCATTCATGTCTCTAAAATATTTAGTAATGACGTTTTGCAACTAAATTTTTTATAAATAAATTATCATGTTTTATTTAGCAAATATTCAAGAGACATACAAGAAAATGAAAAAATGTCCAGATAACAAAGATAATTAATAAAAAATTGATTCCGGAGGAAAAAAAAACATTAAATAACATTTGCGCATATTTGGTCGGTAAAATCTAACCCTAATTATGGGAAACTATTCTTAAAAAATTAAATATTTAAAATAATTGATATTATTTTTCATTATTATTCAAAATAATCAAAATCCCAGCTTCACCTTTGCATTAATTTCGCACTGTTAAACTAAAATAATGAGAAAAAGTTTATTATTCTGTATATTGTACTGAGGCTTAAAATTTGATAAAGAGTATGCTTAATAATAAAGAGTATGAGTATGCTCAAAATATGATAAAATTTATCATGTTTTTGGACCTATAGGAGCACCAAAAGTGCGGTAATTTTAAAATTAACGCTTTGGCAATGACTTTGAGTAAGAATGCAAATAAAATTTTGTTTTATTAACGGGCTGTTTGATTGTAAATTTAATAAAAATTAGGTAATTTTTCTAAAAGAACATCGAAAATGCAAAACTATTTTGCTGTATAGAGTTTTTTTTTTAAACACAAAAAATCTTATTCAAATATTTTAATAAGTTTATAATATTTTTCTTTTCTATTAGCACCACTGACTCCCTCTGCTTTTTCTATAAAATCCTACAAACCTGTTCCTTTTAATCCAGCTTTTCACTCGAACAAAAACTGATTTCCTCAGCTTATTCTGAGGAATTCGACAAACATATTAATTCAGACCTATATTTTTTTAACTGATTCACTTAGATCATTCTGTCGAGTCTCACAAATATTGATTTTTTTTTGTTCGTCTGTCTTTCTGTAACAAGAACTGATTAACTTAGCCAATTTTAAAAAATCTACGTATTGATTCTAAGCCCCCGTTTTTGAGCCACAACCACTGATTTATTCTCCTCATTCTATAGAATCTTACAAGCATATTTATTAAGTTACAGCGTTTTCTTAATTAAGTGATAAAGTAAGATTTTTCTCTCAAGTCTTCCTAACATATTGAATAATTAATATATCTATCATTCAAAAGCAACAAATATCAGTATTCATTATATCTCACTAACAATCAATTAATTCACTAATATCTTTCTGTCGATTCCTGGAAACATGTATTTAGAACTTTCAATATTTTTTAATAACATAATTTCTCTTTTAGTGATTGAGTTTTAGATGATCATTTTCAAGGAAATAATTTAAAATACTGTTATTCTTATATTTTCTAATTTATTTCATTTTTCACCATTTTCTTCCTTTCCTTCTTCTTTTGTTACTTTTCTTTAAATTCTTTTTTGAGACAAACTAATAACTTCACAAATAGCTTATAAGATTTGAAATAACTTATGAAATGGAATATATTTCCTGAAATATATGCAGACTTCGCAATGTTTCGCAAATGTTTTCCTTATTCAATTTTAAAAAAGAGTGATTCACAATCAACAATAATTTCCAAACATCTTCATGAAAATTAGTGAAGCCTTTTTGCAATTTTTTTTTCATTTAATTTTCAGGCATTAAAAAATTACAATAATTACTTAGAATGAGAAATATATCCCTTAAAATAATAACAATTTCTTTTTATTTGAAGATTCCTAATTCAAACTAATTTGAAAATAATATTATTAGTATTAAATATAATTTTACTTAAAAAAAATTCTATAGTTTTTGATATTGTTCGGTATCACGACACTGATGATTGTCGCAATTAATAGTACCGAAACGACCACCCGTTATTCGAACTTCTTTATTATGCTTTTTATCGTCTTTTTTTTTTACTTCTATGATGAATAGAAACCTACATTTTTGCCAATATTATTTAAACGGATGGAAAAAAAAAGAGTTGAATTAAATTGTTCGAACCTGTCCTCGATAAGTACCCCAAAAATGACACCAAGGAATGTGTTTTGATTCTTTTATCATTTTGCAACATCAGTAATTTCCTGTACAATTGAATATATATATATATATANATATATAAATGCTGCATACAAACAAAAGCGAATGTTTTTTAACAAAATCAACAAATCAACAAATTTCAATATGACGAAAAGTTTAAAATGCTAAAAATCGAAAACTGAATTATGAGAAATAAAGTTTGGTAAGCAAATGGGGCTAAATAAAAAGTTGGAGAACTATTGAATTAAGACATTTTTCTTAAAGTGTTAGATCTCAGAATTAAAATTGTATTCTTATGTAGCTGCAATGACTCCCTTCAAAAGCCTCCATTTGGGTACATTTTTCCATCTGAGGGTATATTTAATAGTTTAAGTAAAAAAAAAAAAAAACTTGAATTCAGTTGTAAAAAACTTTCCCTACATGCAATTTAAATGAAAAAATTTAAGTAAAACTAGTAACAGCAATTCTCTTAAGTAGAAGCATTTTTTGAATAAATTTTAATCCTTTACAGTTAAAAATAGTAACCTTTATAGCCTAGCAAATACAGATCATGTACTAAACAATTAGCAGGCATAAAGCAGTTTTATTCTCATGCAACATGCGCTATATATAGAACATGCATTATTTTTCTAGCTAAAACTGCTTTTTCATGCGAAAGTATAACACTTACTTGTACCATTTGCATTTCTTGCAAGAACCCTGTTGCTTACAGTTGCTGGAGTTGTCACTGTAGATGCTGGTAGAGTGGTGGGCCTCGTAATTGGCCCATGACCAGGCACAGGGCCCGGCCCCAGGCCTGATCCACTTTCAGTTGTTACTGGTACAGGACAGGTATTAATAAACTCCCGAGCTGGAAGGTCCATAGACAAAACAGGATTTTCTACAAAAAATAGTAGATAAGCATTAATCAGTTAATTAAACTTGTATGGCCTAATTTAAAGGTGAATTAAAGTAATGATAATGATTAAAATTATTATTTAAAAATATTTTAATAAAAACAAAAAGTTTATTTCATATTTTATGAATATGATTATAGTTTGAACAAAGGAAGCAAAAGTAAACATCTATACATATTAAAAAAGTCGAAAAAATATAAATTAATGAATCCATAAAATTGAGCATAAATTAAAAATAATCTTATTATTTTTCATCAAAATAATAAACTAGTTCTATTAAGTATTAGAATCTATCAGATCAATATGAAGTTTTTGAAAAAATAGCATGTGCACGAATATGTCAATGGACACAAAAAATATCAGTTTGATGAATGTTAAAAAAAGACATAAACGCAAACGTTGCATAACAAAACAAAAATATAAATAAATATTTAAAAAAAAAACTATATATATATATATTTTTCTTAATTATTTATATATATATATATATTTATTATACTATATATTTTTTAAAAATTCAAAAACATAATTCAAACCTTTTTATTGATTCGAAATTACCTTTTACTTCTAAATCAAAATTATAAAGTAAAATTATTTTAAATTAAAGATTATTTTATTTCAAAAGAATGTAATAATTTAAAAAATATCAAGTGTTTGTCAATTGAATTAAAACTTTAGATAAAAAATTTATGAACCTATGCAAAGTTAAACACAATATCTTTTTTATATTGTGTTGGAAGTTACTTTTCACAAATTCAAATGAAATTTTCTGATTACAAAAGATTATAATAATTTAAAAAATATCAAGAATCTATTATTCGAATTAAAACGAATGTTAAAAATTTATGGATCTATGTAAAAATAAACACGTAATTTTTATGTCGTGTGGGAAGTTAATTTTGACAAATTTAAATGTAAATTTTTTGATTGCAAAAGACTATAAAAATTTAAAAAAATATTAGAAGCGTATGTTTTACGAATTAAAACTTTATATAAAAATATTTATAGTCCTATGCAAAATTAAGCACAATTTCTTTTTATGTTGTGAAGTTGCTTTTGACAAAAAATTTCTGCATTAATATATCAATAAGTAACTTGAAAAACGAGGAAAAGTAAAAATTTTGTAACACAATTATTGAAATAATATTTAATAATAAATAGTTTGTATAAAATCATAAATTAATACACCGTACAATGAACTTCACCATTTTTCAACCTGATTTAAATTACTAATACTTCATAAAATGATAAAAGAAAGAGAAGTGAAGGAAATTTCTATTGTGGTTAAATAGCTACGTCATATTTCTTTAACAAAATTTAATTAATTTCTTAATCGAAATTCAAAATTTGGAAATTACCCGCTAAAACGAAAGCAAAGCGCTTTGAATAAAAATAAAAAAAATTATAAAATAGAAATTAATAAAAGATTCGAAAGGAATAATTATTTGAATGATCAAAATTAATATTAGCAAGATTTTAAATTGAAATTATCTAATAAATTAGTTTAAATAAAAGATTAATAATATCAAATAAATCTAATTACTTTTTGCAATAAAAAATTCTCTATTTTTTATTACTAATTATTTAAAATTATTATTTTTGAAAACTGTAATGTTGTTCTGGAATAATTTACTTATTTTGAACGTAATATGATTAAATGTCCTATATTTAACACTAAGTTTCACTAAATTTCAGAGAAATCGTTCTAAAGATATAATAATGATCACAATATTTAGAACTTTCAAATTGTCCTTAATTTTTTTTTGTTGAATACATAAGATATTTGATAATTAGATTTGATATTAGATACTTGATAATCTAATTTTCGTTTTAGAATTATTTTGGTATATTGAATTATTTCGGTATTTTTAATATATTCTTTTTTTTCTGTCTGTATTCTTGCACATTTCCTTAATGCCTTTTGTTGAAAACTTATTTTAATACTTTACTTTAAAAAATGAACAATAGATAAAAAATAAACAATTTTTTTAATAAGTTTGTTTGATCTATAAAATGAAATAATTGAAACCAACACTATATAATTATATTTTTCACATTTTAAAAGATAATTCAAAAGATATAATCATTCGATATTGTTTGATGAAACGTATTAAAAAATGAGAAAGCTTATTTACGAAGACTTAATGTAAGCAGTATTTAAAATGTAGTTTTAAAACTGAAAATATGTCTTTAAAATAAAAACATGTTATTATTCTTATTGTATGAGAAAAAGTAAAGTATGAGATTTAAAAAATTAATACATGAATATTGCTATAAGCAAAATTTCCTTAAAATCCTTCAAAATTATTTGGTATTTATGAAAGAATCATGCAGAGTAAATAGAAAATTAAATTTTGTCTGTGAATTCAAATGATACTGTTTTAAAAAATTACTAAATCAAAAAGTATGACCAAACTTATTCAAATTTTTAATTTCGAAACGTTTTCTTTTAAATATCTTCTTTTTTGGTGCATTTTATATATAGTATCTGTTCATTCAAAACGAAAAATGTTATGCATTAAGATTTATTTTATCTTTTAAAGCTAACACATTTGAAATGGTTTAAAACTATTTTTAAAATTATTTTATTTTTAATGTTTTTAATTTATGATTTCAAATTTCGATTCAATAACTAAATGAATATAAATGTTTTTTTGAAATGTTTGCCAGTTTTAGAGAATACAATTATATGTGCAATGAAAAAAATGAAATGAAGGTTGCTAGTTGTGCTGTTTTTTCCTCTATATGGATGAATTAAATATTAAAAATAACAATCCCTCCCCCAAAAAAAAGTGTCTACATGCCAAGTATATTTGTAAAAAGAATTGCTTTTCATTATTACTCTAAAAGGGTGTTTTAAACAAAAAGCTGACGTTTTTAAATAATATGCATAAATTTAAAATAAAAAAAACTCACTCATTATGTCTCTGAAATTATTAGTAATAGATCAATACTTTAGCAATTGCTACGTATTTGTGAAAAGGTCAATAATAAAACCGTCATTTGAGCAACAGACACTTTTTTCCAATTTGTCTACAATGCCAAAATAATCACAAACTAAATTAAATTTCCTGTGTCTCAATATATGTAATTAAACAGTAAATGGTATGTCATTTAATTATTCTATTAATTAGTACAGAACAATGTTTGCAAACACTTTTAAGCTAACTAAATACATCGGAGCCAACTAAATACATATGAACCTCTACTTATAAAATGTTTATAAAACGTTTGCAAAAGTTAGAAAATGTTACATAATTTTAAAATTGACATTCGGAAGTACATTTGATTTTAACAGATAGCTAAAAAAAAACTTTTTCTGAAGTACATGAAAAAAAATCTTCCAATAAACCTTCCAATATACATTATATTATATCCCCCCCCCCTAAAGAAACAAAATTAAACCTAACTACGTCTGTATCACGCATTAAACAATTTTTTTCATTTTTTAAGCAACTTTTAAGTTAGAAAACTTTTTTTAATAATAGTTTGAAATTCAATATTAAGAAATTATTTGGTATTAATAGGTAACTTACCAAACAATAACTGAGAAAGATAAAATAAAATATTTCTTCCACTGGGAATATTAAAAAAGCTGAACAAATACGAGTTTTTTTATAAACACTAAATATTATATAATTTGTAAGCTACAATGATAATTTTTTTTACTACTCTCATGAGGTCTTCAAAGGCAAAATTATTTTTTTATTCGAATAAAACTATTTCTTTTAGAATACTATTAGAAATAATAAAAATTATTAGAAGAGATAATTTTTTAATCTAATAGTTGGTTCAAAAACTTATCGCGGTGCCAAAAAGTAATAAATAAATAAATAAATAAATAAAAATAAAACTTTTCGTGAATTGTCTTGGATGGTTAAGTTGCCTTTGCTTACTGCATAAAACAAAAAATTAGAAATGTAAAAACAACAAATAAAATTTTCGTTAAAAAAAAAAAAAATATTCAATGTGTCTGATATTTGAAGCTTAAAATACCTTGTATGGAATTTTCATATGGATATGATATTTCAAGCAGGATGTTTCATTATGACTCCCCCTTAATATTATTCTTAGAATTCTCTTTAATAAATGATGTAAAAATACATATTTATTAGGAGTTGCTAATTAATGTTTAAGCGTACAAAACACAGAACGCATATGAAAGCTAACGAATAACTAGTGAGAAAGGTGGGACTCATATCCTGTGTGATTACTGGAGAAAAAACAGAAGATTTGAAAGGCTATTATTAGAAACAACTTCAAATTTTATCTGGATATGAAACTGGATTTGATGTTTATCATCAATCCTTCATTGCTAGTGTTTTGACAAGCTTTGTTTTGATAGAATAACACTCATTAGAGAATAGAATAACATTTTGATAGAATAACACTCATAACACTCTCTCACTTAATTATTAATTTTCAACAGCTAATGTGTGTACATTTTCGGATTTATTTTGACAAGGAATCTAAAAATATATCATTACAAAAGACTCGGTACTGAAGCAAAAGACTGTAAACGGTACAGAAGCAGTTCAATATTTAAATCTTAGACACCAATTTATATTAGCTAATTAGCTAAACCTCATTGAATAGAAATATTTTTCTCAAAAAAGACGTGAATATTCAAAGTGTAGTAATAATTTATTTGTAAATTTCTCTATTTTTAAAAATAATGAATTTGTAATCATTCATAAATGTTGTAATAAACAATAATTCATCTGATTGAAAAGGATGAAAAAATTAGAAAAAAATATAAAGTGCGGCTACATGTTTCTTTAATAATTAAAGTTGTATTGCATAAAGCTGTAAAGCCTCGCTTCTTAATAACTATAGCATTATAATACTTGTTAACTAACTTAATAATATAAAATCCACATTTTAAGGATAAAAAAATGCACTTATCATTTTTTAGTCTTTATACTTTCAGACATAACATAATAATAATAAAAGAAAATTAAAAATAGGATTATTTTAATTTTCCGAACTCAGAGAACTTTCCTTTGCAATTTGGATATTTTTAGTATATTTAAAAGTTGAGTCTTTATAAAGAAAAAAGACATTAAAATTCTTGCGTAAAGTGAAAAATACTTAAACTCATAGACTTTTATCTTTATCTTATCTTAAGACTTTTATCTTATCTTAAGTCTTTTATCTTTTCTTATAATTAAATGTTCACATAAAAAGCAAAATTTTCCGAAACTTACAGACAAAAAACAAAAACAAAAAAACACTAGTTATTAGCTTTTTTTCCTTTTAGTTAAGAAAAATTAGAAGTTTTGTCGTAGTTAAAGTGAAAATAAGTAAATAAAAACAAAAGGACTATATTAAACTGATTGGAGATACTAACAGTTACACTTTCGATTCACTATGTTCACTACTTAATTTAAGTTGCTCATATATTTATTATGTTCTTATCTTTAAGCTACTCATTTGTCTATCATGCTTATATTTAAGTTGTCCATTTGTCAAAGATTTTTATATTTATCTGTTCTCTTACTTGCTATATTTATTTTTAAAATATTTATCTGTTTCATAGTTGGATTCAGGCGTTTATAAATTTAGTCATATTCCACTGACTAAATTTATAAACGCCTAGTCATTTTTAGTTAAAAAAGTTATTTTTAGTTACTTTTAGTTAAAAGTTTTTTTTTCTTTCTTAAATTCATAATAATTTCCAGTCGAATAATATTTGCAAATATAAACTGCCTATTTAGATGGCTAAAACAAGTATCGAGAAAGATAACCACACTCTGTTTAATAAAAATTAGGCATACATTTTAATAGAATAGATATTTTTCAGAAAAGTGCACATTAATAAATTACTATTTATCGTTAGTGAATATTAAATAGACATTTTTCTTTAAAAAGGAAATGCAGCAAATCTAATCATTTAAATTATTTTGAATTCTATTTTTATCTGGACTCTAGTCTGCCTAACAATTTAAGAAAAACAATATTAAATTGAATTTTGAGAAGAGAAAATAAATCGGTGTACTAAAATATTTGGTATCAGTTTGTTTATTATGTTGTTTCCTTAGAAATGAATATAAAAAGTTAATAACTACTTTCTAAGTAACCCAGTTCGAAATTTTCATTATTTATACTGTAATTCTAAGAGAAATTATTACATATTAATGAATATAATTTAATGTTATGTAAAAATACATTTTCTTAATTGTCTACTGTATCTAACTGTACTACTGTACTTGTCTACTATAACATAAGAAGACCACAGTATCAAAACATAAAAAAATCAGGTTTTTAATAAATTTTTAATTCATTTTCTAATTGTGTTAGTAAATTCTAAGCATAAGCAATATGCCGTTGTTCTTATACTTTCAATAGAGGCAAACGAAGTACAAATATACTTCTTTAGTTATTAAGATACATATTGTTGCAGGAATTAAAAACAAAGGCACTTCAAAAATTTTGTCTATATGGTCTTTTGTCTAACAATTTTGTCTATGAGCATTAATTAAAATGCAAATATAAATACTAGAAAATTTTAAAAATTTAAGCTTCGATTCTGCTACTTTTGGGAAAATCTGGTTCTCCAACACTGCGAAAAATCTAAGGGGGAAAAAATTATAGTGTAGTATTAACAGCCAATGAAGTACTTTTAGAAGGGTTGCGCTGCAACAATGATGCTTTTTAAGGTGCTTTTAATTAAAATATAATAAAAGTAATTATTTGAACTACATTTTCGCAAAAAAAGTAATAATAAATAAATAAATAATGGTACTAAATATAATTCGATGATGCAAAGATATTGAATTAAAAGATATTGCTATAAAAAATTTTCTAAAACTAAAGATATTACCAAACCGCTAAAGATTTTACCACTAAAAAAATAATTATTTTTGTCATTGTTGATATAAATTTTTCGCTAACGGGTTCATTTCTCCAGCATTACGAAACCTAGTTGATTTTAACTTTTCTTTCAATAAAAAAAGAATTTGCAGTTAAGATAAGCTACAGTTAAAATAAATTTTAAAATTCCTAGTTAAAATTTCATATAAATCAAAAACACTTCCCATTCAAAGTTGAAGTACATGATAGTAATTGGAAGAAAAAAATTATACACATTAATTTATTGTGTAATGTCATAAAACTGATTTTCAAATACTCTGTTTCATTAAGAAAGTCAGTTTGAAAGGTTTTAAATTATCTTATTCTAAATCATTCTGTGATTGGAGGATGTGGCTATTTAGAGCTATATCTATATATGTATATAGTATACTTACTGAAATGCACGTCAACAGGCACTTTGATTCAATAAGAGAAACATATCCACTGTGTCATCACGTAAGAAGTACTATCTCTGATCTCCAAAGATTATTTTTATGGCAAAATCTGAAACACACATAAACAATGTTTAAAGAAAATATTGCAGAATAAATTAAAACCACATAAAAAAATTAACATTATATAGGCAGTTAATCTTATCTAATTAATATTAGATAAATTAGTAATTTATCTAATATGCAGGCAGTTAATCTTATCTGTTTAATATTAGATAAATTAGTATTTTACCTAATATGCCGGCATATAATCTTATCTAATTAATATTAGACAAATTATTTATTTATGAAATATGCAGGCAGTTAATCTTATCTAATTAATATTAGATAAATTATTTTTTTATTAATATGCAGGCAGTTTATTTATTATTATTAATCAGTTAATCTAGTCTTCAGGAGACCCGTATATATATATATATATATATATATATAATTTAAAATTAATTTAACTTGAAATTTTATTTTAATTTGTTTCACTTAAAACTTAAATAACAATTAAAATAATTATTTTATTTAGATTTACTTTAGTAAAGTGAATTGTTTAACAGAAATAATTTCTCTAAATTCATATCAAAGCAAATTTTTCATGAAAAATATTGAACAGAAATTTTTATGTTCCTTCCCAAAATCATAAACGCATTGTAATCATGAGGAAAATAATAATAAAAAAGTTACAATTTTTCAGATAACGAAATTATTATAAATGACTAAAAATCACTTAAATATGAAAATTAAATAATATTGAAACAAGTCATGACGCATTAAAAAAACATTCATTCAAACATTCAACAATTAAAAAAACATTCAAATTTGAAAATAAAAATTTTAAAAAAAATAAATGAAACGTATATTTATATGCAACTGATGCGTAAATTAAATTGTGACTCAAATTCCATTTCTAAAATCACATAAAATGTTTAAATAAATTCAATTTACAGGAAGAGAAAAAAAAGAAAAAAAAAACAGCACATGTGACAAAAACATTCGATGACAGTTTATTATTACTTTATGCGACCAATGTGTAAATATTATTGTAACTTAAATTCCACTACTCAAAACCAAAAAATATTATAAAAATTAAATTTACAGAAAAAAAAACATTTAGCACATGGGATCAAAACAATTGCTTACATATGTAAAAAAGAATGGAACAAAAACAAAATCGTTGCGATAGCGAGAAATAATTAAGTCCTTACCTATTTAAAAAAATTTTATTTTGCGGAATATTTGTCCCTTAAACTACGTATATTTTGAAATATTAAAAAGAAAAAGAACTAATAAAATTACTGTATTAAACAAAAATAAACAGCACTGTACCGTAGCAGATTCCGAAACTACCGTGATTCTAAATGTTGACGGCAAACTGATCACCGGCAAAAAGATCGCACTTCATAACCAACCTTCCATCTAGAACGAGCTTCAACTTATTTCTAATTCCACCCTCTGGAAGAAAACAGAGGCTCTTTTGGCGAGAGAATTTGGCCAGGGTGATTTTTTGTCATCTGTGTATCCCTCCGCTGCGCGCCTGTGTATCAGCTTGAAAAACGAAATCGATACGTTGTGGCACACTCCACCTCAGTGACGACATCTTTCGTCGATTCTAAAGAAAATTCCAAGTCTCTCCGTATACTCCATTTGTGTCCACATATTAGAAAATATTACTAACACCACCCAAAAAAAAAAAAAAAAAAAAAAAAAAAAAAAAAAAAAAANAAAAAAATTATTTAGTTTTCGAATGCCGAAATAAAGATCGAGAGCAAATTATTTTTGTGTTTATAAATTTATAATCGAACGCAAATCTCATTTTTCTAAGGAAAAATTTTTCGGAAAGAGAAAATAAAACTCCCCACTCGATTTAAAGTGCATTTGACAGCTTCAGCGCGGAACTCTTTTTCGGAGAGTAAACGACTCTTTAACCCTTTCGAAAAAGCTCAACCCTTTGGTTACGGACGAAATGTATAACACCGCCGCGCTCCTGTTCTTAGGAGTCACAAAAAGAAATCGATATTTTTTATTGCATTTTCCAGTTTCTTGATAGTCTTGATTTAAATATTATATTACATATAAGTAAAGAACGATTATTTCAAAGTAAGGCAGAAATCAAATGAATTAAATTTGATATCACATTTATTAAAATTAAAAAAAATAAAAATTTCAATATTGGAATATTATTGATTAATAAAAAATAAAAAAAATCTCGTGGTGCAATCAAACCTACTTACCACGGGGAATGAAGAAAAGACGTCTTTAACTATGTCAAGTTGTTCTGCTAATGATAACCCTATGCTAAAGAACGCATCGAGTTGTGGGTCTAACCCCTGGACTGGGGCACCAAAGGGTGGGGGTTGATTGTTGTCGTCAGCTGTCCATATAAGGGGGGAGGAAACTGTGCGTCACAGAGAGTCTCCCTCCCCTGATTGGTTGCCTTACCCTACGTACTGGGTGTATCTCTGGGTAGAGCGGCTAATGATGACGTAGCTCACCCTGAAGGGCGGGGGATAAGAACTAGTAGGGCTGCCACCCGGGCTGCCCCACAATTCAGCCAAAGGAAAGCAAGAACTATGTACTTCTACAGGGAGCGTAGGCAAGCAAGAACTGTTTCACTGCGCACTTTTAACGCTTCTTCTAGTAGGTAAAAAATATTGGCGCCAATCGTGTTCTTGAACGGGCTAATACTCGCTTTTTTGGCTTCGAGAATTATTTAACAAGTTTCCGCTCGGTGCGTCTAAGTTATTTATTATATCTATGGCTTTACTCGTTAAATTTTCGTTGATTGAAGCTCGATATGTTTCGGTTTCGTTCGCTTCGCTTCCGTTTTAACAATCAACATCGTACTTCCATTTTTCATAGAATTTTTTTTTCTTCTTCATTGAATATCTTACAGGAATTAAAGGAGAAAACATAATTATTTAAATCTCATTTCCCGCTTTGATAAGGAAACTAAATTTTTCGTTTAATTTTTATCAAGATTAGTGCTTTTATTCAATAAGCCATGTTTATTTGTAAGAGTTTCTAAAATATTTAATCTATGGGTTTTCATCGTAATAGGCATCATATAAAACGATTGCAGTCTTAAAACTAATTTCCTAGTTATCAAAAAGCATTTTTATTAAATTTTTTTTAATTCATTTAGAAAAAGAATATATATTAAAAAGGAAATGCTTTAATATTTTGATACGAAGAATTGCATTCAATTTATATTGTTTAGAAAAGGGGAAAAACTGAGTAAAAAAATGAATTTGTCTTCAAGTGAAACTATGTTCTGCTTTGTATCATACATTCAACATGCAATACGAAATTAAACAGCTGTGACGGGAAAAGAGCAGACTCATAATGGTCCTTTTACTAAGAAAATACTTATTAAGGTAAATAACGTGTTTATAGATGATGAGACGATCTAACATAGGAAAAGGAAACAGTCTTAAATTAAAAAAATTCAAATAATGATTTATCAATTATTTATATCTTATCGTCACTTCAAATGAGATTGACATTTTTTACCTTTAAGTTTTAGAGTATTATATATATATATATATATATATATATATATATAATTANATATATATTATATTATCTATATTATTTTATGAAGCAGATTATTTTGGCAAATTTTTGTGAAATGGGTAAAAAAATTCTGGGAGAGAAAATAAAAAATATGTAAAGATTAAACAATTAGTGATTACATAGCAATATATTTATTTTGAAGAAACTTTAAATGGACACGAATCAATTTTGATTTAAAAAGAATTAAAAAATAAAAAAGTTATAAGATCCAATTTTTGTCCTTTGTATTACAGCTTTTTTAAATGAAAAATAAAATTTATGAATTTATATTGTGATCATATGCTTTGTTAATTTTTCTCTAATTGCAGAAAATTCCAGTTAGTTGAACAACGGCTGTCTCAGAGAATGGATTTATTTCATTTTTAATTAATAGCTGTACGAAGTTCATATAAAATTTTTATAACATACACTTTTTTAAATAACTCATGTCTAAAGATAAACATAATTATTATTCGTATCTCTCTGACTGTGTTGATATCACAGTAAAATTTGAACGTTTAAAGTTTCTGCAGCACATCATCTATTTTGCTACCAGGGTAGTATTTATACAAGTATCTCGAATCAAAGGAATTTTCAACAATTGTCAAAATTAGAAAATTTTAACAACAACCACTTCTTAAGCAACAGATGATAAAATTTTCAAGGAATCAAACGGCCCACATTTTTTTACAAGAAGAATTGGTTCAACATTAAACTATAATATTGGGTGAACTCACATAAACTTTAAATTTTTTTACCTTAATCGGTATTTCCGTGCAAGTTGAAATTTAGTAAATCGCGTAAGTTAAGAATGGTTTAATTTGCAGAATATTGGATATTAAACTGACACTATATTATGGTTAGAGAAGATTTGTAGCGCCCTCCAAAATTTCTGTAAATGTCCAATATGAAAATTTCAGAATCCACAACTTGGTTTCACTAGTTTATTTATTGCATCTGTCTTATTATTCCAGTATTTCACAGTAAAAAAAAAAAAAGAAGAAAAAATAATTTAAAAAAAAAAGAAAAAAGAAAGAAAACGTTTAAGAATAAAATATTTTGAATAATTTGTATGTAAATTTTATTAATTTTCTTTGCATGCAATAAGATCTACACATATTTATTCATGCTTTAAAATCTATAGTATTTTATAAACAGGACATTGCTCAAAAGTATCTTTTTTTCACATTCTTATTATGATTTATTAACATCCTACTAAGCTTTGTGCCATTCTTGTTGATGTATTACAGAAGAAAAAAAATGAAACGGAAAAATTTTCGATGATTTTTGATCCAAAAATTTATCGGCTTACTATTTTAACTATTTATTTTAATTAGGATCAAAAATTTCTACTTTTGAAATGAAAGAGAAAAAAGAATGTTAAAAAGAATGAAAAGAAATATTAAGTTAACTTACTTGTTTAATTTTATTTTATTCATATATTGGTGATTAAGATGATCTTTAAGAAAATACATGAAAATCGAAACAATAACAAATTTTCTTTTCTTTTTCTTTTTTTATACTATCAAAGTATAGTTTCCGGACGATTATTGTAAGGTATTATTAATTATTATTAAATTTTGTCTTATCATACAAAATAAAATTTGTGAAAAAACCCTGATCGTTTTGATCTTTCCTTTGAAAAGCACTAAAACTACTTAAATAGTTCAAGACTTTTTAAATTTTTAAGATATTCAAAAAAAATTTTTTTATTAGTTGCCAAATACGATTCCCTAAAAAATTATGAAAAAAATTAAAATTTGTTCTGTGCATGCGCAGTATAAAAGAACTCGCTTAAATACTCATAGCTTGCGTAGTTTTTAACAAAATTTTTTTAAAAGCTTAAATCCGCAATTTTGTAATTAATCTTAAATAACTACAAAAATTTTCTTTAATTCCATTGGTTATAACGAAAAACCGTTAGGCGAAAAGTTTAATTTTTTTATAAAAATGTCCATATCCCCATAAATATTTACTCTAGGATTATGAAACTTTATGCAGTTATTAAAAATAACAACTAAAGTAATCGATACAAGTTACTATCTTATTGCTTGATTTTATGGTATAGAGTGTTCAAAAATACTTTTTTTCTTTCTTAATTTATCGTATGTCTCTCAAACCCCTGAAAGCTTTTAATTTTTCGCTAAGTATGAAACATCGCATGAAGTTACAAAGTAATCCTAATTTTGGTTTTTTTGAGAAATTTTAAAAAATGTCAAAAACTGAAAGTGTCTCTTCCATTATTTTAGGCTAGTGTATCATTCCATTATTTTATATAGTACGAGGATATATACATAAATAATCCTCTTTGCAGGAATAAAAAAAGAAATAATATTATCAAAAGTTAAAAACTTATAAGACATGTTTCAAATGTTTCTTTAACATTTTTTAAGCATTTAAACCATAAGTTTTCTGGTTCAATTAAAATTTCAATGATAATATATGATTTATTAAAAGGTATGTACATTTTGGTACAAATATTCAGATTTTATTTACAAAAACACACACACTTTCCTCATCTCTTTTTTTTATCCTCAACTTAATTTGTGGCAACCTTAATAAGATGAAAATCTAAACCGTAGTATTGTATGACAAATTTTTAGAACTACGATAATATGGTTGAACTTAGTAAAATATTAAGGCTGTGTAAAATGGTATTATGGTCAAATACAAATAAAAAAATTTGAAGCAGTATAGACATGAATTTTATTTTTAATGCCGCATTTTTGCAATGAAATATTTTTTGATCTCATTTCCATTTTTTCATGAATTTCAAAATCCATAAAAAAAGTGATAAAAAGAATAGATAAAGAATTTTTTCCGACTATTAAGGGAATAATTTTTATATAACATATAAATATTTATCGGGAAACATTTTTAAGTACTAAAAAAAGAGTAGGATTATAATGAATGGATTATAAAGAAATAGAAACTTTGCATTCATTAATAAGAATAAATATTATTAAGTAAGTAATTCCCTATTAAAATAAATATGTTTTAAATTAGATATAAAATACAGCATCTTTATATATTAAAATTGAAGCAGCACAATGACAATTAAATTGTTTCGATATAATTAGTTTTATTTTCCTATGTTTAAAAAAAAATTTAACATAAGCTTAATGTTAAATAAGCAATCCCAAGATACTGAAGTGATAAGATATTACCTCATAAGAAAACGTCATTCGCTTCAAAAATCAACAAAGACGTGAATGTCTGAACTAAATACGTGAATGAATGAAGTTTTGAAAATGGGCGCCTATTTTTGAAGCGCTTGAAACATGTCTACTCCTATTTGCTGTATTATGTTTTAAAGAGCAACAGCCTAATTGACCTTCATCCCATTACTGGTTCATCCCATAATTGGTTCATCCCATACTCTTAACAAATATTGTATTTGAAGGATATTTCAATAGTTTAAATTTCAATTAAAATAATAGAGGTTGTTCATTAGGAGCTTTCCTATATTCGTTTTCATGTATTTCTTTAAATATATGTTACAAACGCCCTTTTTTGTTAATGTATTTTTTATCTTTTTAAACAAAGAAATAATCAAAGTTTTTGTTAGATTACATAAAAATATGCTTGGCGAAGAACGAATAAAAAGTTCTTTAGACATTTTATAAATAAAAATAAGATTAAAATGAGAAATATTTATTGAAACAAATGAAACCAAGAGAAATATTATTAAGTGAAATTTTTTTTTTGTTACTTCTTAACATTGTGAATGAATATATCATAACAGTTAATAATGATTCGCTCAAAATGTAAAATTAAAATTATTTAGTAACTAAAAATAAAAGTTACCAGGCCATAGAAATTACATTGTATCAAAATCCATTTGTAATTATTGAAGCGTTAGTTTTGCGTGAAATTATTTCATCTTTTTATTACAATCGATGCCTTCCAAGAAAGAATTGTGTCATATTTTCGTCTATTTTTTCTTCAACTTAAGATACGTTATAAACGTTTGTTAGTTTGGCCCAAATTGAAATTCGCAAACTTGGACACAAAGTCTTTTCCTCTATTAACTTAAGTTCTATATGATTT